ACCCTTACCCAAAAAAAAAAAAAAAAAAAAAGAAGAAGAAGTATAAAGTATTTCCTTCCCCTAGAAACTTTTTTTTTAGTTGGAGTCTCACTCTTGTCACCAGGCTGGAGTGCAGTGGCACACTCATGGCCACCACAGCCTCAACTTGCTGGGCTTAGGCAACCCTTCCACCTCAGCTTTCCAAGTTGCTGGCCCTTCAGTGCTTTTTATCAGAATTATAACATATTATACCTGCAGTCTAGTCATTACAGTCTAGTAAGACAGAACCTGGTAAAGTACAGAAATTTGTAACAGATGTATGGCAGCAATCAGTTAAGTAGGAAGAACCACCATTTTTGGACATTTATTATTAGCCACTGTACTAGATAAATTTCAACTGTTATTTTTATTTAAGCATTAAAAAAAAACACTGTGGAAGAGTTAGTAATCCACATCTCACAGAAGAGAAAACTGGAGCTCAGACGTCAGCATGTCAGGAGCATGGCTAGGAGTCGAAACCTGATCTCCTTAGTTCACACATGCCCTTGTCGCTGCCTTCCAAGACAATTTAATGTAACCAGTCAATGACCATGGCAGAGATGTATTAATAGCTTGAGTTAGAGGGGTCCATTCAATATTTGATGGGCAGGTGGGAGGCACATGTGTCTCTCGATTGGCATCCTGGAAGGAAAGCAATGTTGAACTTAAGTGGGAATGAAAGAACACTTAATGCAGGGACTATTTGCAGAGATGTGGGATAAGGGGACCCACAAGGGAAGGTGAGGCCCTTGGGAAAGGGGGTTAGGGGAGGAATAGACATGGCATGAGCCCAGAGCAGCTGTGGGAAGAGGGATTGCCCTGGTAGCTGTGGCCAAGGTGAGTAGATCTACTGCCAAGCTGTACCCAGGTGGTGAGGGAGTGGAGTGCAGGGGTGGAGGGAACAAACCGTGACCCCCATCTCCTCTGGCCCCTAAAGGATAGAGGATCCAGGTGGTCACCGTCCATAAAACTCAGTCCTAGGGCACAGAGCTGGGCAGAGAAAAACAAAGATTTTTTTTTTTTTTTTAGTTGGGACCACACTGTCACCTAGACTGGAGTGCAGTGACACCATCATGCCTCACTGCAGCCTCAACCTCCTGAGTTCAGGTGTACTCCCTCCTCAGCCTCTCAGGTAGCTGGTACTACGGGCATGCGCCACCACAACCGGCTAATTTTTTAATTTTTTAATGAAGATAGTGCCTTGCTATGTTTGCCCAGGCTGGTCTCGCACTCCTGGGCTCAAGCGATTCTCCCACCTCAGCCTCCCAAAGTGCTGGAATTACAGGCGTGAGCCAGCATGTCCAGTGAGAAAAGCAAAGAATTGATCTGAATGAAACCAAGACTGGCCTGGCCATGTACTGCCGGGAGAGTGAGCAGCAGATGCATGGCTGGGCCCTGTTGGGGGTGTGCAGATCAGGGAAATGGCCATGAGGGTACACTGCGGGAAGCAGTAGGAGGTGAAATTGAACAGCCATGTTGAAAGTCCCGAATGTCAAATAAAGGCGCCTGATCCTAATTTGTTACTCAGTGGTAAGCTGTTTTTGTTTGATGTAAACCAATATTAATATTAGATGTATTTATATAAGCCAGAAGGACAGAGAAACGTCCTAGAATGATGAGGCGGGCAGGAAGGCAAGGGTGAGAGAAAGTGCCCAGCCCTCAGGAACTACCCCCCACCCCCGCGGAGGCTGCAGGATGTGAAGTGTGTGCATGTTCCCTCGTGGGGTTCATGTGACTTTGTGTGTTCCAGTGACCTACGGCATGATGAGCTCCAATGTGTACTACTACACCCGGATGATGTCCCAGCTCTTCCTGGACACCCCAGTGTCCAAAATGGAGAAAACAAACTTTAAAACACTGTCTTCGATGGAAGACTTCTGGAAGGTATTGCACACGACTTTGGTAGTACCTCTTTATCACCAAAAACGGCTCCTTTGGCTTTGAAGCTCAATACATGAGTATCTCTAGGGCCTGCTACACAGTTAACACCATGTGGGATGTTGTAAGCTGTGGTGAGCTGCTGAAAGTTGCTGTTTCTGCTGTCCAAGAGGGGTTAGCCAACATTAGGGAGAGCCGTGCATGTGCCTTGCACCGTGCCCAGTGAGTTATATCTCACCTTACTTAATCCCTTCGGTAACCTTGAAAAGTAAGTACTGATCTTATGTCCCAGTTTGCTAGTGAGAGGAAATGGAGATGCAGGGTGCTTAAATGCATATGGTCCTATGGTTAAGAAATAAGAAAATGGACTTTTTTCCTAGCCTGACAGCCATGTCTTCATCCTAGTTTATCATTCATTCATAATTCAATAAGTATTAAGAATCTTCTAGAATGTAAGGCCCATGAGAGTTATTTGGTTGCTCTGTCTTGCTTGGCTCAATATTTTTTTTATTTTTTGAGTTGGGGTCTCAGTCTCGCTCAGGCTGGAGTGCAGTGGCACAACCATGGCTCAGGCAGTCTTTCCACCTCAGCCTCCCAAGTAGCCAGAACTACAGGCACACGCCTCCAAACCTGGCTAATGTTTTTGATTTTTTTTTTTGTAGAGACTAGGTCTCACTAAGTTGGCCAGGCTGGTCTCAACCTCCTGGGCTCAAGCAACCCTCCTGCCTCTGCTCCCAAAGTGCTGAGATTACAGGAGTGAGCCACTGCACCCAGCCTGTTTTGTCTCTTTGTTAATGAAGACATGTATCCCCAGCTCCTAGAGCAGTGCCTGATACCAGGTTAACACATTCTTTCAAAGTGCTACTGTGAAATTCAACCCGGTCCCTTCCCAAATTGCCACAAATTTCATCATAGCATAAGCAATGAGTGATATCCTAGGAAAAATATTAAACTAATCTGAAAGCTATAGAGCTCAGAAACTAAGAAAATTGGAAGGGAAATTGGAAAGAAAATGATTATTTCTCCCTGGGGAGATACTGTCTAAAATTCTTACAGAGCCCTGCGGTCAGAATTGTTGATTTTAAGGACAGCGAAAACTGGGTCATGGAAAGCTAATAATACTTATGAGTACTTGGCATCCCAAACCATGCTTGTATAATATGACTCTTTTACCACCTCAGCGGGGCAAATCAGTCTATCTCTGTTGATCATCTGATAAGGATAGTACATTGAGAAATAGGTCTGTCTTCCCAGTAGGCATAACTGATTATACAAACTCACAAGGTTACTTCTCACGTGTACACATTCTATGATCATAAACGCCAGGCTCTCAAGATGTAGGGAGATGCTGGAGAAGTCACCATAGAGAAAATAGTCTAGACAAATAAAAGATTAATGATAGCAGACTCGTCATCAAAACTACAACCTTTTCTGTAAACAAGACATAAGCCACCATTATGCAGGACACTATTCTAATAAGGGAAAGTAGCCAGGCATGGTGGCTTACACCTGTAATCCCAGCACTTCGGGAAGCCAAGGCAGGAGGATTGCCTGAGCCCAGGAGTTCAGGAGCAACCTGGGCAACAGAGCGAGAATTCATCTCTACAAAAAACGTGGAAAAAAAATAAGCCGGGTAGGTATAGTGGCGGGCACTCCTAGTTCCAGCTACTCAGAAGGCTGAGGTGAAGAATCGCCTGAGCCCAGGAGATCAAGGATGAAGTAAGCCATGATTGTACCACTGCCCTCCAGCCTGAGTGACAGAGTGGGACCCCAACTCAAAAATAAGTCTGTTAATTAATTAAATAAAAATAGCCAGGCGCAGTGGCTCATGCTTATAATCCCAGTATTTTGGAAGGCAGAGGCAAAAGGATTGCCTGAGTCCAGGGGTTCAAGACCAGCCTGGGCAACTAGGCAAGACCTCGTCTCTACGATAAATCAAAAAATTAGCCAGGCCTGGTGGCATGTGCCTGTGGTTTCAGCTACTTGGAAGGCTGAGGCAGAAGGATCACCTGAGCCCAGCAGGTCGAGGCTGCGGTGGCTGTGAGCATGCCACTGCACTTCAGCCTGGGCAACAGAGTGAGACTACTACTCAATCAATCAATCAACATTTAAAAATAAGAGAATGTAGAGTTGGTCGTGGTTATGAATATATGCAACTACCATCCCACCTTTAAGTCCCAGAGCAAAAGTCAGAGTCAGCAAAGGTCAGCACTGCCATTTCTTAAGTACCCACTCTGTGGCAGGTGCAGTAACCACGCAAAAGATGAATTTTCCAGATGCAGGAATCCTGGTTCAGAGGATCCTATTCCAGGCCCCACAGCCATCAGATCACGAAGCAAGATCCCAACTCAAATCTCTGACCAAAAACCTACTCTTATCACTTTTCCGTCTTTATAGAGTTGCCAGACTTGGTCACATACGCGTTCTGGGAAGGAGCATGGCAGATGCTGAGCCTGGGACTTTCTCAAAAATGTTTCCTCTGTTTTCAGTTTACAGAAGGCTCCTTACTGGATGGGCTGTACTGGAAGACACAGCCCAGCAACCGGACAGAAGCTGACAACCGAAGTTTCATTTTCTATGAGAACCTGCTGCTGGGGGTACCACGCATTCGCCAGCTCAGAGTCAGGAACGGGTCCTGCTCCATCCCCCAGGACTTGAGAGATGAGATCAAAGAGTGCTATGATGTCTACTCTGTCAGCAGTGAAGACAGGGCACCGTTTGGGCCAAGAAATGGAACCGCGTAAGTGTCTGTGACTCTGGCCGCTTGGTAACATTCATTCATTCATTCACTGATCTCTCAGTGACATTTTTTTTTTGAGTTAGAGTCCCACTCTGTCACCCAGGCTGAAGTGCGGTGGCACGCCTATGGCCACTGCAGCCTCAACCTGCCAGGCTCAGGCAATTCTTCTGCCTCAGCCTTCCAAGTAGCTGGAACTATAGACATGCACTACCACGCCTGGCTAATTTTTTTACTTATTGTAGAGATGAGGTCTCACCAAGTTGCCCAGGCTGGTCTTGAACCTCTGGGCTCAGGCAATCCTCTTGCCTCCGCCTCCCAGAGTGCTGGGATTACAGGTGTGAGCCACCATACCTGGCAGTGACTTTCATTCATTCATTCTCTGACAACTTTCCCAAGGAGAAGAGGCCTTCAGTGACTCTTCAGTACTTCTACTTAAACCTTGCCCAAACTGACTCTTGGTTTCTCACATTTTCCCTATGTTTTTAACCCCCTTTTAGTTTCTGCATGCATATTTTTCAAAAGGCTAAATTGTTAACCACATGGCACATGAAAAAAGAAAATATCTTAGCTTTTAGAGGTTTCATTTAAGATGCTTGGACCCTATTTTTTTTTTTTTTTTTTTGAGTTGGAATCTCACTCTGTCTCCCAGACTGGAGAGCAATGGCCGTTCCCGGCCACCGCAGCCTCCATTTGTAAGGCTCCGGAGATCCTTCCGCCTCAGCCTTCCGAATAGCCGGAATTACAGGCATGCGCCACCACGCCCAAC